GCGCCGACGCTGAGAGCTGCCAGGGCCATGCGTAGGATCGGGTTTCTAGGGTCAAACCAGGGCTTAGCGTTCAGGGTGTCGCCTGACGGCGCGTGTAGGGTTTAGGGTTTAGACTCTGCAAGGGTATGTCGTTCACTGAGCAGTCGGCAGCCATCAGAAGGACTTGCATGCGCCGGCACGACTTTGTATTCCTGCAGGGATAGGCTTATCTGTACCAAACCTTTCACCCCCAGAAAGCTCAGTAAGTATAGACCATGCAACCTTTGGCCACATTCGAGGGGCGTTCTAAACATTTTAGGCCTCCTGGGCCCCCGGTTATATTATCTTCCGCCATCCTACGGTGCCTGCGGTTTACAGGGTTTTAGGGGAGGCTTTAGGGGTCAGGCTGAGCAAGAATACTCATAGTCTCCAATCCCAAAATCCTAAACCACCGCTTAGAAGAAGCCCCGGTGCGCATGCAGCTGTTTTGACACGTATGCTTTGGAGGATGTCATATGGATTTGACAGCGGCCCAGTCAGTCGAAAACAAAGTGCTCAGCTTACGGTTATTCAAGAACTCAGGGTTGCAGAAAGTCCCGAGACCCCACAATCGAAATCCTGCAGCCATAAACCACACTATGCCAGGTTGAATCTTCACACGCTCCCCCCCCCCCTCCCGCCCGCAAGACCTCCAGACCCCAACCCCGCGCAGCCCAAGATGCCCGAACTCGACATGCCCAGATGCACATGCTATCAGTCACTCGCGACCCCTAGAAGCCCTAAACGAGTGAGGCCATGACAACCCCGGCCTTCGGATCAACCGGCCACCGGATCAACCGGCCACGCGGGCAGGAGCCTCAAAGCAATGGCCTGTAAAATCTCCTACATTGTTTGTATGATGGGGGACCAGTTGATTGATCTTGGAGGGTCCATGATCGCCGGGTCGGTTTGGGGTTTCAGGTGAGTTGCAGGTTTAGGCCCCAGCAACTTGCTGAAAGCCTTAGCCCAAGACCCTGAAACCTCTGCGACAGTCAAGCCCTCCAAACCCTCAACCCTAAATCCATAAAGCCATAAAGCCTGGAGCCCTGGAACCCTAAAGCACTGCACCCCAAGACCCACACAAAAAAGCCAAACAAACCTGCCCTATCTAACAACCCTAAACCCTAAACCCCTCCAACCCCCCCCCCCCCCCTAAACCCTAAACCCTAAACCCTAAACCCGAAACCCTAAACCCTAAACCCCTCTAACCCCCGAGCCCTAAACCCTAAACCCTAAACCCTCCAACCCCAAACCCTACCCGAGCCCTGAGGCAGGTGTCTGCTCTTGGCCCTGTCGGAGCCGGACGAACCGGGCGCATGCGGCAGACACTCTCCGACGTTCGGATCCAAAAAAAGATCTACCTAGGACGGGTTTAGGGTTTAGGGTTTTGGGTTTAGGGTTTAGGGTACCTGCGACCCTATTTACCAGTTTTCAGTAGTTTTAAGGCTTATACCTACTAAATAGACTAGGATGCCCAGTAGTGCCCTTATTCCCTTTTTGGGGGGTTTAGGTTCCCTTATAAACCCCTTTAAAGCAAAAAAGTGTACCCTTTTCAAGCCTAGGTTACTGGGCAGCCTTACTATTAATCTGTAGCTAAATAGGGTCCCAGGGACAGCACGGGCCCGCAAAAAGGACCCCCTGGACTCCAATCTTTTGATTAGTTCAGGACATCAGGGTTTAGGGTGTAGGGTTTAGGGTTTAGGGTTTAGGGTTTGCATTTCAAGTCATATGCCCTGTAGTCGAAGAACACATGCATTGGAGTCTCTGTGGATTCTGGGGTGAGGGTGGAGGGCTTTAGGATCTGTAGCGCAGGGGGTCGAGGGCTTCTAATTCTAGGGTTAAGCATCCATGGTTCAGCCCAATGGATTCGAAAGCTCCTCCACCTGAATACACCTAAATTAACCCTAAACCCTAAACCCCAAACCCTAAACCCCAAACCCTAAACCCCCAACCCCAAACCCTAAACCCTAAACCCTAAAAGTCCTCTGCCTCATGAATCGGGTGGGGACTTGCATTGTTGGGCTCAGGGTGTCGCAGGCGGTGCCCAGTTCACTTCCCGGCCGTCAGCGCATTTCGGACCAAGAGCCTACTTTACCCTCTGAAAGGCTCTGGCTGCTTCTCACCTTAATTGTCACCTTACCACATTTCCGTGGCGAAAATCATGATGCCGTGGCGTACTCTCAGTGCCGTGATGCAAGCCCTGTGGGTGGGAATCGTCTTGGCGGAGCCGAGTTGCGAGAACGCTGAGGCGGTGAAAGGCAAGGATTTGCAAACTCATGTATTGCCTCCCGAAATCTCTCTGAACTCCCCCAGAGCCCAAAAAAAGAAGTCCCTGGATATCTGAGCTCCCAAGTCCCCCGAAAGACGCTTTTGAAACCCTACGCCTGGTCTTCCAAACAGGAAGCGCCTTGTTGCAGCGGGCCCTGCAGAACCATGGCGCGGAGGCGTCTATTTTGTGTCTGTCTAGTTTGTTGCTTCTTATCTGTGCATGCATCTGTATGTATATATGTATGTATATATATGTATATCTATATATATATATATATATATGTAGATGTATATGCACGTGTTTGGTATGTGTTGTATGTGTGTGTGTGATGTACGTGTGTGTGTGTGTGTGACATGTGGGTATATATACATATATAGATATATGTGTGTCTGTGTTTGTGTGCGGGGTTAAGGGCATGCTGGATGAGGTGTCAGAAGTTTTAGGGTGTAAGGGGTTAGAGGACTCAGAAGTACACCGCTGCGAGCACGCGATTTGGTGGAAGTTTTCCAGTTAAGGCTTGGCGTCAGAGGTCTGAGAACCCTGGAGGGTACAGGAAAGGCCACGCCCTACTTCCCGAAGCTTCAGGTACCCTACCTGCTTGAGGGTTGTTGTAAAGCTTCGTGCTTTCAGCGTTACATAACACAGACTTCGATGGCCGTTAGCAGTGGTCCGCGAAAGTATGGCGAAGGATGCCGCGAAAGACCACACATTTCGCCACAGTTCTTACGATATGCTCCCTAGCTGCTCTTGTTTTCCTGGCCATGCCGCGTTAAACCTCCATGGTTCTCCTTGGGCTTTTGATCAGGGAGTTTGCGCGAAAGTCCCGCGAAAGATTGGGCAACAAATCCGCAGCGCAGGTAGCTTTTGAAGGCCCTGACCCTTTTGTGTCTTGTGCCCAGTGGTGGATAACCTGGCAGATAAGCCGCGGCAAGAAACGACCAGCCAACATGATGCCAGTCAGAACCTTAAATGCTCACTCAGAGGCGTTGCAAAGCATGCATCGTATGAGTCCCCGCGAAAGTTCGCGAAAGTAGGCTTTACACTTTCCACGAAGAACATCCGCTTGCGCGTGAAAGAATATACAGCGATCGACCTACAGGCACTTTCTCGCACATCGGTATGGAGGGGCCCCAAATGCATCCGAGTCAGGCTGATTTGGCAGTGGCGGAGGCGTCGTCTGGGAACCGTTCCCGAGGATGTGGCGCCCCGAATGCACCGAAAAGGCTTTTGAAGGGCTTCATGGGTTAAAGGAGTAAGGTTTTTGGGAGTAAGGTGGCTATTAGGGTCAGGGCTTTTATGGTTTGGGGTGTGAAGTCCAATAAGGCACCCCCAATTTCGTACACCCTCAGTTCACCCTGGGGCTCCAGTTCACCGAAGAACCCCTAAGCCCTAAACCCTGAACTGCCCAGCGCATTATGCCCACACTGTGAAAGTTCCGGCGAAAGTTCCGGTGAAAGACATAAATCAGACAAGCTGTTGAACAAGACACGGGATCCATTATCAATCCTGCCTGTGCGACACGCGGTGTCTGAAGGAATGGGCTTCTCCGGCACCTGTTTGACAAATACCGATTGGGCATACCAGATGGCCAATTATGTCCCAGGTGATGGCGCCGGGTTCTTCAACACCTTCGTCAAAGTCTGGATGGATGTAACTCCTTTGAACGGCTTCATTTTTTGCATCGGGGATCGTCCCGGCTCTTGGATTGTGGGAAATGAGTACGGCACGAGCTCACAGCTGTACGACTCCTACCAGGGTCTCACATACCTCCGCAACTTCTTCATCTCTCCCACCGACATGGAGGACTGGGGCACTCTGGGCTATTACACCACCCTGTTCCTTGGCATATGCCTTGATCACGGCCCTTCCGAACGTCTCGCTGCACGTTCTTGGGGGTTATGTGTTACCCCTAAACCCCAAACCCTAAACCCTAAACCCCACACCCCAAGCCCTAAACCCTAAGCCCTAAACCCTCAACCGAGAGAACACACCAGGTTCTGCCCATCAGGCACCGCTGCCGACCTGTACACCGAGCTCAAAGTCGCCTTCGCCTTCAACAAGTGTGGCACGGCCAAGGTGAACCTGGGACCCAGGATTTAGGATTTAGGGTTTAGGGTTTAGGGTTTAGGGTTTAGGGTTTAGGTACCTACCTACAGTTTTTCAGGGTTGTACCGACCAAATGGGGGGGACTTACTACTACTCGGGGACCCTATTTCCCTACAGTTTTCAAGGGGTTATACCTTCCTGCCGAGTCTGTAGGGAAATAGGGTCCCAGGAACTTCCTGCTGTCTATCAGCCCCGACACCTTCGAGTGCTTCGCTGACAAGCTGGTGCCCGTACCTCGGTAGGACCTCGAAGCATTTTTGATATTTTCCCCTATTGGGTTTAAGAGGTTCCATGTAAGGGACCTTAGGGGGTCGTCCCGAGGCTATTTAGGGGCTACTCAGGTACATAGGGACTATCTAAGGTAGATATAGGGGTATCTTCAGGAATATAAAGCCTAAACCCTAAACCCTAAAACCTAAACCCTAAACCCTAAACCCTAAACCCTGAACCCCAAACCCTAAACCCTAAGGGGCCCTCCGAGGTTCTGAGCCGGGTGGTTGGGATGGTGCCCGAGTTCACCTTCGGCATCTCCGTGGACAGGAGGGGGATTTCCGAACATAGGGTTTAGGGTTTAGGGTTTAGGGTTTAGGGTTTAGGGTTTAGGGTTTAGGGTTCCCTTCTAGGTTACCCAGGAGTAGGCCCTTTTTTCCCTTTGTTATGGTTGGGGTTCTCTTAAATCCCCTTAAAACCAGAAAGGGCACCCTTTTCAACCCTAGGTTACTCCGGAGTCTAGCCTTAGAGACCCCAAAATACGATGTACTCCGTTTAAAGGAACCCTTCCAAGAGCACCCCCTATTAGAGACCCCAGCATGCTATGTAATCCTTTTAAAGGAACCCGCAAAAAGCCCCCCCCTCATTATGGACCCCAAATGCTATGTAATCCTCTGTAAGGAACCCCCCGAGGAGCACGCCTTAGATACCCCAAAATACTGTATAATTCCTTGTAAAGGAACCCCCCCCCCCCCCAAAAAAAAAAAAGGGGGGGTTTAGGGTTTAGGGTTTAGGGTTTAGGGTTTAGGGTTTCGCCCCTACCTTCGGAAACCTGCCAGGAAGATGTCCAAGACCGTCACCTTGGCCCACGGGGACGGGGACGACATCGAAGTGGCGGACGTCACCATGGGCGCCCATCTGGGCCTCAGTGTCGCTTGGGGACCAAATGAACCCCCAAGATTTGGGGCCATATACCCTCTACTACTATCATTCCCTATCAGGGTTTTTCTGAACCATAAGCCTTTTGGGGTTCACTTTGGCACCAAGGTCCTGGTGCGTCTCTCCGTGGGCCAGATCTTGGGCGCTGACGACACGCTCGGCGACTCGGTTCCGTCCTTGGGAGGTTTACGGTTTAGAGTTTAGGGTTTAGGACCCTCTTTTCTGCTTTCCTACACGGGTCCTGTTGACGAAGATTTCGGAGGGTGTTTAAAGGGCCAACCAAGGCGATGTTCTGGCAGGCGACCTCCAGATGCAGGCGGTTCTGTCCTACGACGGGGACCTCAGCGCCTATGCTTCATGTAGTCAATGCGTGGTTTGGGGTTTAGGGTTTAGGGTGACTTGTTTTGTGAAGTTTCCAAGAGTAAGCCTGTAAACCCAAACGCGGAATCCAACACACAACAAGCCCTCAAACCCTGAAAAACCCTGATCCCCACACCTTCCTGCTGCAGGGACTCCTCTCACGGCGATCGCCTCCGCTGACGTGGTCAGCATCCTCCCCGACCTCCTCGTTGCTTGCAGGGCTTAGGGTTTAGGGCTTAGGGCTTAGGGCTTAGGGCTTAGGGCTTAGGGCTTAGGGCTTAGGGCTTAGGGCTTAGGGCTTAGGGCTTAGGGCTTAGGGCTGAGGGCTTAGGGCTTAGGGCTTAGGGCTTAGGGCTTAGGGCTTAGGGCTTAGGGCTTAGGGCTTAGGGCTTAGGGCTTAGGGCTTAGGGCTTAGGGCTTAGGGCTTAGGGGAGGGCTTAGGTTTGTCGATTCGGGAAGCAGGGAATAGTGCGCGGATGATAGAGTCTCTCGTGTTTTTTTTTCTTCTTTTTCCCCACCCTCGGGGTGGGGTTGTTAGATTTTAAATTCAACTCTTCCTCGCCCGGAACTGTTGAACTCTCCTCGACTGCCCAACCCCAGCCCCACAGTCTCCCTGTGCCCAAATCCAGAGTGTCCCCGGAGTGCCCAGCCCCAGAGTGTCCCTGGAGTGCCCAACCCCAGAGTATCTCTAACAAGAGAGGGTGGGGATGCTCGGTGTCTTTGTGTGTGTGTGTGTGTGTTTTTTCTCTATCTCTCTCAAGTTTATATGTTTCTGGATAGATAGATTGATAGATAGGTGGACAGAAAGACAGACATATATATATATATATGTATATATACATTACATATATGTATGTATATATATATATATATATATTTATATTATTTACTTATACATATATGTATATATATATACATATGTATACATACTAGCATCGTTATCGTGAACCTAGACCCTAGCTGGGCAGCAAGAATCAGTTTCAGGCTGGGGTCGTGTCTGCCCAACAAGTTGGTCCGACACTGGCTGCCATTGCGCTGAGACAGGCCGAAGGGAAGTCGACGGAGGGTGAAGGGGTTTAGTTGAGGGTTGAGGGTTGGGATGTTCTCCCCAGTCCGTAGTAGGGATTGTAGTACCCCTGACTATAATCCCTATTACTGACTGTTAGGAAAAAGGGGAACATCCCAAGTTGTGGGCTGAGTACTTAGAGTTTCGTTTTTTTTTTTGCACGGGGTGTGGGGTCGAGGATTTCGGCCAGGTTGAAGGTGCCTTCTTCTCAATTATGATTCCGAGTTTGAGATTTGGGGTTCAGGGCGTTCTGGCTCCATTTTCCGTTTGGTGGCTCTTCCACAAACCTTTGTAGCCCTTTGTGCTGCCATGGGCCTTCACCCACTTCCCGAATTTCACGAGCAAGACCTTCTGAATCCCGTACGCCTGGAGCAGAGCTTTGCTGCAGTAAACCTAGCCCACACTGCGCTGCGCCAGCACTTCTTAATCCCAAAACTACCCAACATTAGCCAACATCCCTACCAACCCCCCCCCCCCCCCCCCCCCTGATACCCCTTGTCCCCCCAACCCCCCCCCCCCCGTCCCCCCTTCCCGTAAACCCCTGGGCAGGCAGGGGCGAACTCTAACGTGGTGGACCTCGTGGAGCAGATTCAGAGGTTCGAGGGTTCTTAAGGGACGAGAGGTTCATGGGGGTAGGTAGGTACCTAGGGAACCTTCGGGAAGCTTAGGGAGCCTTAGGGATTATTGGGGAGTGTTAGGGAACCTTGGGTTGCATACCCCTTGAACCCTTCCTAAACCCTAAAACCCTAAACCCTACACCCTAAAGCCCCCTGAGGGCCACGCTGATGTTTGTCGTCACCGGCTACGTGACGCTGGCGCTTGCAGGACCCGGGCTTGAACTGGGGGTTTAGGGTCCCTTACCTCCTCTAGTGGGTTCTGAAGTATGGGCTCATTCTCGGAAGGGTAGATAAAGGGGTATACAAGGTGACCCCCAGACCGGGCCCGCCTAAGCCCCAAACTCACAAGCCCTTGGAGGTTCAGCAAAGGAGCCTGTATAAATGCCAATAGTTGTCCGGCAATAAACTTAACCCCTACATCGTTGTGCCTTACAGTTGTAAGGTACCCCAAATACGCATTCCTCATTGATCAGACCCCTATGTGAGAGCTTGTCCAGGAGTTCAGGGTTCTGGCTTCAGATCTTGAACTTAGAACTCAAACCTCGAAGGTTTACCTAGTCACGGGCTCTTTGGCTCCATTGTTGTGTATTTCCCTTGTGTTTAGGAGGCCCCATATGCCCCCGAATATGGCAGCAGAGCTTCCAAGGGTAAGCGTTATAGAGTTGAGGACTTGTAGGACTTAGGGTTTTAGGGTTATAGGGTTTAGGGTTTAGGGTTTAGGGTTTAGGGTCTTTACATCAGGGTTCTGTGCCTCATCCGAATGGGGTGGGGCATGCTGTCTCTTGCGAACCTAGGCAGGGGTACATGTCGCGGGTCATGAGAAGCAGGGTTTGGGGGACTGTTATGGGTGGGTGTATATTAGGTTCCCCTTTAATATTGGTGTGTGTATATATATATAGGGTGTCCTTGTGGGGATACAAGGAATATAAACCTTCCTTCACAAGCGAACTTTCCTCTGATTGGACAATGGGTTTCCGTTGTCATTTCTGGAAGCGACAATTTTTCTTCTGCAATGCTCCTGACATGCTTCAATATTTTGCTTCAGAGCTGTGTTGCTTCATGCACACACACTATCGCTGATTGGGTTCAACGCATGAAACCACTGACTCTATCTTCTCTGTCCTTGCGATTCCTAACCATTGATGGGCAACTTCACGTCCTCGACTTTTGATGTTGCGTGCTTGCTAACCGTGCTTAGTACAAGTCTAAGGTGTTTCACCTTCATATGATTGATCGGTAAATTCACGTCCTCGACCACTGATGTTGTGTGCTTGCTAACCGTGTTTAGTACAAATCTAAGCTGTCTCACCTTGATATGATTCACGACCTCGAGTCCGCAGTACAAGGAATATAAACCCTACTTCATGTCTAGACGTGCAGTCTTTGTAGACACAAAGGACCAATGTGTCCATGTGTTTGGATGCATTGCGTTGCTTTGTGGCCCAGGTACCCCTAAACCCTAAACCCTAAACCCTAAACCCTAAACCCTAAACCCTAAACCCGAAGCTCCCCGCTTCAGGGTTCGCGACATTCTCGAGCTCGCTAGGACCTACAACAGGCATCTTGCCGGACCTTTCCTTCCAGCTGCCGCCCGGCCGCAGAGAACTCCAAACTTTGGTTCAGGGCTTTGGGTTTAGGATTGAGGGTTTAGGGTTTAGGGTTTAGGGTTTAGGGTTAGGGTTTAGGATCTAGAACCCGGAACCTTCATGGTCGGACGGTTTGGGCGCTTTGGGGGTTAGGCTCAAAGTGCCTGAACTGGAGTTACAAGCCTTCTTCTCAATTTTTCGGGGTAGTAGGTACCTAGGGAGAACCGCCCCCAAACCCAAAACCCTACACTACTAAACCCTAAACTCCTCAACCCTCCATCCGAAACCCTAAACCCTAAACCCTAAACAACCAGACCCTGACGTCCTAAACCCTTCACTACTCAACCATAAACTCTAAACTACTAGACCCTGAACCCTAAACCGCGCAGTGCCTTAAAAGGAAACTTCAAGTGCCCCACTGCCTGATATTTTCAAGCAACGGGAGCTCCTACTGCACGGTTTGGGATTTTAGGGGGGGGGGGGGGGGGCGGTTTTGTGTTTTTTTTCGTGTTTTTTTTTTTTTGGGGGGGGGGGGGCGGGGGCTCGCTTTACGGGTTTGGGGTTCTTAGGGTTTGGGGTCTTGGAGTTTTTGGCTGAGGGTAGCTTGCTATGTTATGCGGCGTATTAGGATCTGTGAAAGGTTCACCGCTGCAATGATGCTGCGCATGGGGCCGCCGACCAGCAGTGATCTCAGCAAGGTGCCGGAGATCTGCACTTGGGCTTTAGGCTTCAGGCTCTAGGGTCTTTGGGTGTATGCTCTACAGACTCCACAGGCTGACGGGTACCTAAACGCCCAATGAGACCTAAGCAACTTCTCCCCGGAAAGTCA